GATGTTCAGACTGGATTTGGCATTTTGTCTACCTATCGAGTCCTTACCCAGGACCTGGGATAGGCAGATGTGGATGTTTGATGGTATTACAGATATCGTCGCAGGATGGAAGCAGTTCCTAGTAAGGCCGCCTTTTGCAATTGACTAATAGCGAATTTGTCAATGCCAATGGTGTTCAAGTGGTGCTCCAGTTGTTTTGAGATTGCACCCAAGGCGCCTATTACTATTGGTACTACCTTTGCTTGCTTTTGCCACAGTCTTTCTATTTCTATTTGTAGGTCTCTGTATTTTGTTATCTTCTCCAGTTCTTTCTCATCTATTCTGCTGTCTCCAGGCACTGCCACGTCCACTATCCAGACTTTTTTGTCTTTCTTATCGACAATAAGTCTGGGGTGTTATGTTGCAGGTGCTTGTCTGTTTGAATTCTGAAGTCCCAGAGCAGTTTAATTTTATCATTTTCTATGTTTACTATTATTATTATTATTATTATTATTATTATTATTATTATTATTATTATTATTATTATTATTATTATTATTATTAAGATGAATGTATAAGGGTGGGATGTTAATCCACTAACAAGCTCCGGGATGGAAACCACACACGCACACACACACAATGATAAACCATGGCTGCCTCCTCAGGAGCATCTCCCTGAAGCCATGAGGTCTAACGACCTGTTTTACCTGTCCTGGCCTCCCCCTTCCCCCTTGCACCTGAGCTCTTTTGAGGTTGAAAGACTCCTTCTCCTTGGCCGCCCGGTTCTCAGCCATGAAGGTCTGGATCTCCTTCAGCTTAGTCTGCACGTGCTCCACCTGCACCTTCAGGTCTTCGGCCAGCTGGGCCGCCTCCACCGCCTGCAAGCAGAACATGGCGTCCAAACCCGATCTGCACCAACATCTAAACCAGGGGTAGTCAACCTTGGCTCTTTTATGACTCGTGGACTTCAACTCCCAGAATTCCTGAGCCAGCTAAGCTGGCTCAGGAATTCTGGGAGTTGAAGTCCACGAGTCATAAAAGAGCCAAGGTTGACTACCCCTGATCTAAACGATGCCCCCATCATCCCCGGCTGTGAAAGCTCCCCGTGAGAGTCCCGTCAATCAGAATCCGATTTCGAGGGCTGTGCTTTTTTCCTACTATTTTTTTTAAAAAAAAATTAATTAGGGATTCTCATCGGGAGTAACGGGTGCGTCCGAGGCCCAGACTCGCTTTCTAACTTGGCAGCTCCCACACCGGCTCCTCACCTTCCTCTTGTTGAGCTCCAGGGCCTGGCTGCGTAAAGTGAGCTCTTTCTCCACGGTGCCCAGATTGCCCTGCAGGACTCGTTCCTTCTCCTCCAGCTTCTGCACGACTAAGAGCTGGGTGTCCACCTGAGGAAAGCACAAGGGGTCGGCACGTATTCCGGGAAGCCGCCTCTACATTTAGTGGCCTCTTCCTTCAAAGCTCTGATCCCCCAACCTGGTGGTGGTGGTGGTGGTGGTGGAGGGCTGGGTGGCTGCCTACCTGAGACTTGAGGGCCAGCACCTGCTCGGCCAGTTCTTCCTTCTCCTCCCGCAGGAGCTTGTGAATCTGGTTGGATTTGATGCGCTCCGACATCAGCTTGAAGTTGGCGTCATCCTTCTCACGCAGCTGCTGGTTTAGCCGCATGTTCTGCTCTTGCATGTCCTCGAAAGCTTGGCCTGTCACATCCATCTCCGAGAGAAGCGCCTCTTCCTCCTGATCCACAAGAAAAAAAAGAGGAAAACAAAAAACAAAAAAGAATTGGAGAATTGGAATTTCCCCAGCCCAGCCCTTACTAATAATCTCAGAACCACATTTGTTTTCTTTCTCATGCTGGAATGTCTAGATCAGTGGTGGCGAACCATTGACACGCGTGCCAGAAGCGGCACTCGGAGCCCTCTCTGTGGGTACATGCGCTATGCCCCAAAGATGGCAACCGTCCCTCTTCAAGCAGCCACCTGCTAACTCGCCGAGGTCCCACGTGGCCGGATGCATCCCAGCATGGCTGGTTTCCCTCCCCCCCTCGTCCCGTCCCTCCTGGCCTCGCATGCTCTCCTTCTCCCGGGCACGACCCACTGCATCGCCTCCTCAGCTGTCGGCCGGCCAGCCATCGAGCTCAGAGGCGGCTTCTCTGAACTGCTGGCAGCGGACCGCGGATCCCTAGAGTGCGCCGGTCGAGGGGCCGGCAGGCTGTGGCTGCTGACAGACACCGTCGACCCCCATGCGCTCGCTGGCCTCTGTGTGCGGGGGCCGATGGTGTCAGGCAGCAGCCGCCCCGGCCCCTGCATCGCCTTGCCCTGCGACAATGGCACCCCCGCCCTGCCTCGCCTCCCCTCCCCCCGTAGGATGAGCCTCCTGCCCACTGTCCCACCCACCAGAGACCCCCCTGGATCTCCCCCAACCCTGTCTTGCCCCCCCACAGGAGTCCCTGCCCATGAGGAACATCGAGGTGACCACACCCACCTTGGCCACACCCACCCATTCTGCCATGACCACCACAGCCACGCCCACCCAGTCGGCCACACCCACCTGGCACCCGGCGATAAATAAGTTTTGGGTTGCAGTTTGGACACTCGGTCTCTCAAAGGTTCGCCATCACTGGTCTAAATGGACTTCTGGACTGATCTGTTGTTAACGGGTTCTAACCACCAGGCCTTGAGCCTCATCTCTATGAATGTGGTTCTTCACAGCAATCAGCGGACCAGGTCAACACTGAGGTTTATGTTTATGGAAAAATTTCAACTGCCCTCAGAGCCTCTAGGCCAGGGCTTTTCAACCTTTTCACCCATTGTACCACTTTTAGGATAGGGCAATATCCGAGGACCACCAATCGCCCAGCAAGGTGTCAAAAACTTGATGACCAAAAAAAAAAAAGTGATAAAGTACAGGTAGTCCTTGACTTACAACAGTTCGCTTAGTGACTGTTCGAAGTTACAATGGCACTGAAAAAAGTGCCCCGCAAGCCACAGCCAAGCAAGGCATCTGCCTGACCACCTGGTGGCGCTCTTCCTCCTGTCTGAGGTTTTCATTGTTGTGAGCATTTCTGTTGAGGATTGGCAGTGGGGGTGGGGTGGGGGGGTGTTTGGTTTTTATTCCCCCCGTCTGCTGGGTGGTTGCAGCAGGTTTTGGTCACTTCACATGACCCTGGGACACTGTGACCGTCATAAATATGAATCAGTTGCCAAGCATCTGAATGTAAATCACAAGACCCTGGAGA